AAAATCAAACAATGTTAGCAACCTAACTCTGCAAGTTTCATAACTAGCATCTTCACATCAAACAATGTTAGCAACCTAACTCTGCAAGTTTCATAACTAGCATCTTCACATCAAACAATGTTAGCAACCTAACTCTGCAAGTTTCATAACTAGCATCTTCACATCAAACAATGTTAGCAACTTAACTCTGCAAGTTTCATAACTAGCATCTTCACATCAAACAATGTTAGCAACCTAACTCTGCAAGTTTCATAACTAGCATCTTCACATCATACAATGTTTCATAACTAGCAACTTCAAGCGACATTTATTTTGGAAATTGTAATCGACTTTTTAATCTTATCCTTAACTTACCTTCCTAATATATTAGCTTTCTGGTGATTAGTTTTAGTTTTGAATGTAAGAACACTAGAACAGATCAAATAACTTTGTGACAACCCTGTTAACTTTTCATACTGAGAGTGTAATACATATTTTAATTGTGTTTACACCAAATGGAATATAATTATCAACTTTATATTATGTGAAACAACACACTGCATGTGTGCAAAGAGCTTTTACAAGACTGTGAAAACATAAAACAAAACACATTGTAAAAGAAGCTTTATACATGAACAGTATTAATCTATAAAATCTGAAAACAAACAGTTCCAATAAAATGTAATAATGGTAACATTTAATGAGTACAATATCTTACAGTACTATTCTTTTTTATTGCCCTGCACATGTCACAGTGTTATAGAAATTAACAGGGATTAAGTCCTGGCCTAACCTAACCTTTGCAATCTCACAAGATACAAAATATTATTTAAATGTAGAAAAAGCCAACTTGAAGACTTGCCAAAGTTGAAATATGGACTGTGAAGATACCAAACAACTGAAACTGGCTATTAAAACTAGCTCAAACCTGAGTGATTAATACAATGACTTTTTCTTCTGTTATGAAACTTGCTATATAAATGTTTTGTCTAAAGCTCCCAATAATGAGACAATAATTATGTAAAATTTGATAAATGTTGAAAATAACTTACATTTATCTGAATTACAAGTACATTAAAGTGATCCCAACATCAGAAAACCTTCAATCAGCTAACCATCAGATACTGGTATGACCTTTAATATTGTCTTAACTTGTGATCAGGAGAAATTAGTTAATTATAAGTTTGATACTCTCTATTAAAAGTAAGCGTGCTAACTTCCAATTGAAAATGTGCCAATTCATCATGAATTATAATCAAACTTTATATTTATAATTAAGTAAAATAAATAAGCAAAAACTTAATTTTTGACCAAAGTTAGAACTAAAACTTACCACTTTAACTGGACACAGAATTTAGATACAACTTATAAACACTTGAATAACCACAAACTTGGTGATAAAAGCGATGTGGTTATTTCAGTCACTTATCACCAGGTTTAAAAAATAATCTTCAGGCATTTTAAAGGATCTCTCATTAGAAAAAAAAACCTTCAATGCTTTCAAAACACATGGAATTTTTTGAAGTTAATAAGTAACTATGGATGGTTTCCAGTTCTATAATCATTTCCCAGATATACAAAGCAGGCCTTACAAAATTAAACAGGATTATATAAATCACTGAAAGTTGCAAAGTTAAGAAATAATTTTCCTATGAATTGTTTCATTACCTATGTTTTACAATTGTATTTCATTGTATCCATCTATGATAAAAAAAAGCTCATGTATGCCAGAGTTCACATCTTCAAAACTTACAGATACTCACTCTCCTTCAGTGGCTTCCTCTATAGATTCCATATCAGTCAACAGGTTATCAATGAAACTGAAAGGATCTAAACCATTACCAGGCTGAGTTTTCAGAGCTTCATATACTGCAAGAGCCTGAAGAATAGCCCCATTGTAGCCATTCGGATGTGCATGTGTAATCTGGGCACTTTGTCGCGCCATCTGTTGAACAAGGAAGGCTCATAAGTGAACAAAATCATGCAGATTAATTTAAACTTCAAATTTTACAGTTCATCAGACTATGTACTTTGAATAGTATGTAGTGAGCTAACACTTTTGGTAAGGTCTAAAAAATATGTGCCTTCTGTAACTTGACTCATTCTAAAGTTTTTGTTTTGGTAATCTTACATGGGGACTTCTTTCAAGTAAATATATTATTCCATAGAAAAAAAAATGTAATTCTAACATTATTTACATAACATACACGACCAACAATTATTTTAAGTTACACAAATACTAATCAATTTTTTCAAGTTGTTTAACAATAATTATTTTTCAGTAAAATAAAAGAGTGAAGAACACAATCACAAACCTAGTTCACTTTTCCCTATGACACAAATTTTTACTAATATCACCTTAACTAATTGTAATTACAAATCAAAATATTCTTACTTTTATATGCTTCAAACAAACCAATTCAACATCAAATATAATAATTCATACTGCTTTTATTAAATATAGATATTGTGCTGATAACACAAAAAAAAAAGTCCCCACTTAAGATCTTTAGTGATCTCTATAAAAATGGATTTGCCCCCCAGTGGCACAGCAGTATGTCTGCGGACTTACAGTGCTAGAATCCAGGTTTCGATACCCGTGGTGGGCAGAGCACGGATAGCCCATTGTGTAGCTTTGTGCTTAATTATAATCAAACAAAAAATGGATTAATCTTTTTTTAGGCAATCTAACTACCAGTGTTTTGGCTTATTCTTATTTTATTACAACATTTTAATAAATACTTCACTACAGATACACAAACTGCTAAATGCCCACTTGCAATTCTCCAACTAGACACAAAAAAAAAACTGATTCTTTCCAACTCTTTAAAATGGTTAAAACATAAGTTAACCTGAAATGATTGTAGTTCTCCTCAAACTCTCTTTAGTGACATCTCAGGCAACATCATTGTATCTAATGATGTATCATCATCCAAGATACATTACAACCTTACTTAGCATACATATCTCCTCCAACTCATCTTCTGGTGGAAAATAAACACAGATACAAAGTTTCCAGAAGTGAGTAAATACTAAAATTCCACTTTACTTGTGAAAGAAACCTTATGTATGTATATACATGTAGTATTATGATATGCGACAGATCACATCAAACGGTAATAATAAAACCCTAGTACATTCAAAGGGTAGACAGGGACAAAGGGAGGACCAACAAAATGAGATAGTGTGTAACCAAGTTTACTCCAGAATGTGAAAAAATTAAAACAGCAAACAAAGATATCAAAACTACACATCCTCAGAAAACGAAAAAGATTTTTTCTTACAAAAATAAAAATAAGTTTTTTTTTTAGGTTTGAAACTTCAATGCTACAAACTTGTAGTTTCAATACTTATATCCCTAAAGCCCACAAACAGAGATCCTGATCTATATATATTAATATATATAATTATTTGGTCATTGTGGTAGGTTTTGTTCAGTCATTTAATTGAAATATGATCAGTTGAAAAAAAAGTAATTTTTTACTAAAATAATCTGAATTTCATGTGAAAAACATTTTATTCATTTGAACATCAACAGTGTTTAAATTGTCTGTCTTGGGGTATAATCAGCTTTTCTTGTGGTTCTGGTTATCAAAGAAAGAAGCACTAAATGTTTTTAGAAAATTATCAACAATAGTATTTAAGAAATTATGAAGGTTTAGTGAAATGGGAAAAATAGCACAATTATGGCATCTTGTACATAAAAGCTATCCTTAATTCTCCTGGCTTCTTTCTCACTTATACATGTAGTGCAGCTTCTTGGTTAAGTTCATGTGCACTGAATAAAGGAAATTTCTGATTTTCACTTATACTTTGAAAGGTAAAAATACTTAACATCTTATATACTGATTGTATCTAATATTCAGAATATCTATTACAATTTAAGAACAATAATCAAATGTTCACATAGTCCCAAGATAGAATTATTCATACTTTATCAGAACATACAAAACAAATGCAGTTTATACATTTGTATATAATTGTAAAAACTGATCACATTTTTAAATTTTAATGTAAACCACAAAAGTTATAATTCTCCTACACTGAAAATGTATTTCTGATAGGTACTTACCTTGTCTCACATAAATAGCTATTCTTGTTCAGTGCTGCCCTCTATATGCAAATTTATTTTTTTGCATGCCACAAGCCTTGGGCTCTCACATACCTCACGATCAACGTGGTTCAACTGCATCTCTCATGCAAATTATCATGCGACAACCCTCCACCAACAGGAGCGAGACATACCCTCCTGAAGCATGTGACTCCCTCTATTGGATTCTACCAAACTATCACTTTCCGTTTGGGCAGAAAAAGGAAGCACCTGTTTTCAGTGGGGAGGGAGGGTGGGGAGTGTGAGAAGAGTGCAGAAAAATTATAACTTCCGATACGGTACATTACCTCCGCTCGCATAAATAGCTAGAATCCCACATTCAATAGGTGGAGGGACTGGTGTGAGGGAAAGAAAAAAGCATCTTTCAAATGCATCCAAAAGGAGGATACTCACAGTAGAAGAAAGGAAAATGATCCCAACCACCCGATATCTGAGTCTCAATCCCATAGATAATAGCAATGTGGATGAGAGTAAAAAGGATGTGCCCCAAGGTGGCTATGGTGCAACGGACTGTACACAGCCAGTTAACTGAATCTGAAACCCAATCACTGGGAACCGATATCCATGCTGGGATGGGGTGAGGATCATACCATCAGTAAGTCAACTACAATCCAAAACCCAGCCACTGGAAACCTTTTAAATAGTAATAATGTATATACATATTGTTATGACAGTGGAAGTCACATGATGCTGGGAACATGCGCGCTGGAGTTTCTCAAAGGATCATGAATTATCGAGGAACCCCATGAATGTCTGAGTGTTTGCTAGACGCCCTCTTTTTTAGTATATAAGCCTGGCGAGAACAACCAGTGGCATCGGCAGATAGATTGAAGAGATAGATAATTGAGTCAAGCAAACAGTAGGCACCACATGTATAGTGTGTGAATCATTGTGATTTATAGTGTGTGTTATAAAGGTTGTTAAGTTTAAAATGACTGTGGAAATTCTGTGTAGTAAAAAAAGTTGTATCGAGAAAGAATAAACTGGTTTAATGAAGAAAGGACTTGTTTTGCTGAAGTTCCTCGGAAATAAACAAACAAGCAGATACACAACAATATATAATGTATTAAAGCTGAAATGTGACTGTATTTTACAAAATATTAGTCCACTAAAACACAGCCAAGCCAGTTTTATATTTTTGGATATGGTAACATGAGTGCATGTGCACCATGTCATTTTAACTTCTGGGTTCTATAACATTACCCAGTCACAGCTGAAAGGTCAATATAATAAAAATAATTAATATATATATATAAATGTTTTTGTGTAATAACTTGTAGTCATCCTAGAATGAAAAAAGCATAATTTATATTTATTTTCTAATTTTTATGGAGGTTACGAAGTTGGTCAAATTGAACCAACCCATACAGATATACAGTAGTGAAAATAACAGATAAAATATGAAGTTTTTTCTAAAAAAAATTTGATAATTACCTAGACATTATAAAGATTCCACATGTGAATTTTGAAAATGTTCTGATGCATAAGAGTATTTTTAATCTTAAAATCAAAATTAATTTGCATGTTGGATAGTCAACATTCTGAAAGAAAAAATTTTACAAGAAAATCTTTAATTAAAAAATCTTAATACTTGATTTAACCTGATATTTTGTGTATGAAAGCCTTGTAATGTTTACCAATAACCAGCAAAATTTTGTAAAGATATGCATATATTATCAAAAATCATTGTATAATTACTTTCATAAATACTTTTGTGGTTACGAGCGAGGTGGATTCCACCCAGCCCATAATGGAAAGGTTAAAGGAAACATGTTATATCTAACATGTAATCTGTTAAGAAATTTATGATATAGTGTTGTTTTAGATTTTGTTTTATTGCAAAACCACAATGGAATATCTGTTTTGTCCACCAAGCCCTGGATTTTAGACTTGTAAGTCCGTAGACTTACAGCTGACTGACCAGGAGACAATGAAATCTTTTTTCCAGAGCCTTTATACTCGATGGGAGAGTAGACTAGAAGAAGCATGTGTTATTCATTAACAATTACTATGCTTTAGTAGACCTAGCAGAAGACATGAGGCTACGTATCTCACAATCTTCAGATTCCTGCATTGCCCAATGATTTAACATTTTTTCAAGTGAACAGAGTTAATATAACACTACAGATCACTCATTTAGGCTTATCATCTGTGATTGTTGGTATAAAAAAAAATTTGCAGAAAATGCTCAGTCTGATGGCATAAGCAAGGGCCCTGACAGATGTAAGAACAGTTGCTCACATTTTGACAGAAATTTGTCAAAATCATGAGAAACCTACTGTTATGTCTCCGTTTGTTCATTAATTTTCCGTAAATTCTTTTCAACTAAACTTTAGCGACACAAGTCCTTTCTTAAATAAAACTGGTTTATTCTTTCCGAATACAACTTTACGATACACTTAATTTCAACAGTCGCTCTATAACAACGCTATAAATCACGTCTCACGTGGCCAACAATATTCTGTCCCCATACATTCAATTACTCATTACCCCCCCATCGCTTCGTGGCCGGTCCGTTATATATACAAGACTACACTATATCTAGAAAGAATCACGAGATTAAGGTAAAAGAACGTGAATAGTTCGTAGAATAGACGTGGCGGTGGATACTA